GTGCTTTTGCAGATTCAGCCTTATAACCAAACCTCTGAATAATTTCTTTCTATCCTTTGCCAATTCTTTTACCTTTTGGTGGTGAAAATAAATTCAGTGGTTACTAGAAAAAGAAGAAAAAGATTTTACCTTTTATTGTTTTTATTTATCAATTTTGAATTTATCATGAGCTGAGGACCCCATAACAAAGGCAATCTTTTGAAATGTCCATCAAGAAAGAACCAAAATTCCATGTTATTTAACTAATTTTATTTTTAATTTTATTGGCACATGGGAGAATTGGATGTAGTGGGCAAAAGTTTTTGGTTCCATGGATAGGATTAGGTGGGTGTGGATGGAAATTAATTGATGGTATATATTTTATTGTTCTTATTTTTGTCTGGACAAGTGGAGGGATAAAGTAAGAGGATGTGGCATCTGCAAATTTTGTTTGATGATTGAGATCCAATACTTGATGTTCCAGTCAAGAAAAGTAATGCTGTGCTTGTTGAGAAAATGCTAGAGGACTAGGAAGATGAAATTTATGTGGGTCTAGAATATAAAGAAAGATATGATTAGCTTAATTCTAAGCTTGTCTTTGGACAAAATAGTGATGAAAAATCCATATAATCAGGAGAGTAGGCTTTGCTAAGTTGAGTTGGGTTGATTAAGAAGATTCAAAACCAAAAAGCCTTTTCCCTAGCCTAGTGATTGATAATCTCATTTTGGGGTAGGGGTGATTAGTAAGCCCATTTTGGAATGGGCCAAATAAATGCTGGGGGTATTAGATTTGGTGGGGGTGATACTGAAAAGGTGGGATTGGATGAAACGGGATTAATTTATGGGTCTTGTTATTTGTTTTAGTTCAGTGAAAAATGATGGATGAGCGAGCTCATAAATCTGACCATAGGATGAAATGCAGCACTAGCTGCGTGTTTTCCAGAGCAAGACTGACGCACACCTTTGTAAAGAGACTTGGACATGGAAGAATGTCTTCATTCTTTCAAAGAAAGTAAGTTGTTTCATGTATTTCATTCAAGAAAAATGATTAGAGCGGAATTAACAAAACAGGAAAAAGAAAAGAAGCAAGATGTGTATTTATGTGTTATCCATCCTTTCCTTTGAGGATGTCTTAGAGAACAAATTAACACAAGAAGAAGAGAAATTATATAAGCTGTTACTTATCGTTGTGCTCATTTTTAGACCTTGTTTGTAACTAGGGAGAAGGTCTAGGCATTAGACTACTTGTATTCTCACAGGTGGCAGGACTACCACATTATTATGTGGATTTGATAAAAAAAGGGATGGGGTATGGTTTGGAGGGGGGGGCTAATAGCCTCCTCGTCTGAAGGATTACTGACACTAACTTCCCTTGGGATTGATAATCCTAGGATTAGAGAAGAAAATGCAACCAGTAGATCTTCAACCAATGGTCAAACTCTTGTTAGTCCTATTGTTGTTACCTATCCAATGGTCAAAAAATTATAAATCCATTTCCTCCTATCATATATCACCTCCAATAATCCCAAGTATTGTCAAACACATCATAGTCCATGCTTTAACCCACTATAAATCCCATCCTATCCAATCCCACCTTATCTTATCATCAGTGGGACCATTAATTAATTCCATCATTCTTGATCCTTCCTTTTCCACCGTAATAATCAAACCCTTTTCAATCCCCCATTAGTTGTCAAACCAGGTTTTGGGTGATGTTTAATTTATATAAGACTAGCTTATATGTGGATATAGAAGATGGAGATTTGATTTAATCTTGACCATTTACAAATATTTAAAATCCTATCTCTATCTACCCATACTTTTTAGTAATGTTTTCAAGAGTGGGTGATAGACTTAGAGTGCACAAAAAGGCACCATTTAGGGGCAAGGTGCTTCAGGGTGCCATCTCAGTGCCTTGACCTAGGTTAGTTAGGCAAGGGGCCTTCCCTCAGGCATGCTTTTGGAAAGGAGAAGTGTAAGGAGCAAGGCTCTTGCAAGGCATGCTTGAGATGATTTGCAGCCTTCTTGGGCTCTTTCACGGAGAAAAACAAGACATGGATTTTTGTTGGATTTTTGAATAGGCTGAAAATCAAAACCTTAGAACTATTAAAAAGCATGGACGATCTCTACAATTGGTGTTCTTCAATTCCTAAGTATTGTCTTCTTCAAGGCTTCAATTTCTATGTGTTGACTTCAGCAATGAATGTTGATTTTGACTTCAACATCATCAATTAGTTCTACTTTGACATCGTCAGTTGACATTGACTTTTCCATCATCAGTCAATGTTGGCTTCAACACATCCTCAAGTTTGGCTTCAACATCATCAGTTGACCTCCACTTTGCATCATTAGTCGAGCTCGACTTCAACATCATTAGCTAAGCTCGACTTCAACATCATTTGTTGACTTGGCTTCAACATCACCACTCAATTTTGGCTTTGACTTCCACTTCGACTTTGCAATAGACTTTGACTTCATCACTTCACTTCTTACTTTGTATTTTTCTCCCCCTCGCCAACTTCATTTTTTGAAAAATCTTCCCAAGTATTTTATTTTTTTCAGAAATCCCAAATAGTTGATTTTTATATAATTTTGATTTAGTTTCCCAATAATTTTCTTAATTTTTAATGTTAATAACATACCTTTAACTAAATTGTCTTCCCCATTATTTAATTTGACATGCTTTGATGTTTTATACAATGTATTTGGACTTTGAATGTGCGTGTGTGTATATATATATATATATATATATTTTTTTTTTTTGGCTAATTATACAATTATCTTGTATATTTGGTGCAATTGAGACTTTGACATGTAGAATAATAGAGAACATCCCAAAAATTATCTGATGTGCTTCTCACTTGCAAAAGGTGCCTCAAGTAATGCCTGTACCTTGCAGATGGATAGACTTAGTTCTTTGCTTCCCATGGATGTAATCTTTATGGCTAGATCAAATAAATCACTTCATTATCCTTCTTTTCATTTCGTCATTTATGTTCAAATTCTCTAGGTCTCCAAAAGTACTAGCAAAATTATACTACTTTGGTTTTCTTTCTAGTTATGTTTTGAGACACATGGAAGCCCTTTTTTTTAAATATTTGAGAAGATTAGGTACTAGTGATTTTCATTATGTATAGTATTAAGTTCCAAACTTTCTTAACAGTGCCATATTATTGTCATGGTCATCCATATATCTCTTTTCTATTACTTGCGTTTTTTTCTTCTTTTTTCTTCCTTTTTTTGTTTGGGGTGGAGTGGGGTTGGGGGGGAGTGGGGCTGGGCCGGAGGGTAATGCCGGAAAGGGCTTGGCCAATCAATGGGTAATGGAAACTCAAAAGTTTATGCAACTTTTTCAGAATCTTTATTCATGAGAGGGAAAACTGAATCTGATGAAATGATGTTCCAAATATTTATAACCAACTGATCCTACTTCTTTCAGGATAAACAATCCACTTCTATCAAAGCTCTAGAACTACTCCAATTCTATCAGAATTTTGCAAAAAAAAAAAAAAAATAAAAAAATGAAGAGTTCTAATTAAAATAAAATTCTAAAATAAATCTTAACTAAATTAAAATTTCAGCTGTGTCAACATTTATGATAAACACGTAGGTTCTTTTCATGCACTCTTGTTTGTCATCTAATCTCCCACTTCTGTCAAAGCTCTAGAACTACTCCAATTCTATAAGAATTTTGCGACAAAAATATGAAGAGTTTTAACTAAAATAAAATTCTAAAATAAATCTTTACTAAATTAAAATTTTGGCTGTGCCATCATTTATGATAAACACTTTGGTTTTTTTCATGCACTCCTTGTTTGTCATCTAATCACCCTGGCTGGGAAAAGCACATACTTGGCAAATTAAGCTGACATATTGCTGGAGGAAGTGTGAATCAATGCAATGAGATTCATCTTTAGTAAATTTATATGGTGTCAACAGGGAGAAATCCTCTCCCACACACAGGAAGTGATTGGTAGCAACCGGTATGACAAATAGCATCTTTATGGTGCTACACCTCTTCAAAGTCTCCTCCTGGGTGGAGGTGATTTCGGAAAACATAGTAGGAGAGCCACCTGTAAGAAATCATCTGATGAGGAAATAGGCATAATGGTACATCAACTAGGCAACAAATCTGCCTTGTCAAAAAAAAAAACTAGTAGTTATATCAGATGGTAAGTCAAGCAAAAATGCTTTAGGCCCAAGCTTATGAATGATACAAAATGATCCAATGGAGTGGGCATGAAGTTTGTTGAAGAAATGTTTAGGATATTTAGGACGTATATGAACCATAACATGATGCCCTTCACTGGGATCTAATTTCCCACAATGAACATCAGCAAAATTATAGACCTCATGGCTCATAGGAAATTTTCATCTAATATAAGCATACAATTCATGAATGTATTGGGCAAAAGATTCAGCAGAATGGAAAATACAGGCATCAGGCAGTAAAGGAACGAGATCAACACGTTGAAAGGCCATATAGAATTTCAGTAGGATCTGATACCAACTAATGCCTCAAGTTGGTTTGGCCAATCCTCAAGTAATACGCAATTAAAAGGTCTGCAAATTATTCTGAATCTTTATCCATGAGAAAGAAAATTGGATCCAATGAAATAAAGGGCCAAAGTATTTATAACCAACTAATCCTAAATAATCCTACTTATAGAACTTCGAAACCAAATTATAAAGAATTATGATTAAAATAAAATCTCAAAATAAATCTTAATTAAATTGAATTCCAGCGCACCCTTGTCTAGGATAAACATGTAGACTTTTGTCATGCACACTTCTTGCCTGCCATCACTTGGGGAGGTGGGTGCTTTACTAGTTAATATCATCTTGTTATAATTTGGATAGCTTAAAATTTTGGTATAGTTAAAATAGTTTTATCCTTTCCCTGCTATGTGATCAACATATTGACTACGGCACTTGCTTTGAAGATTCAGTTAACAATAGTTTTGTATTTGTGAAAAAACTGGTGGCTGTTAGGCAATCAATAGTTGTAGTGTTGATTTGTAATGAAAGTGCCCCAAGTCCTCTATTGCTGCTGATGCTATGATAATTTTTTAGTATTGCTTGTCAACACCTTTTATATGTTAAAACCACAAGCAACTGACATTTACCAGGTTCTTGATTTAGTAGATGTGGGTCTGGTTTACTGGAGTTTACCTTTTTTTATTATAGGTTTTTATCATTGGGAAACATGAATAGTTTTTTTTATACTAGGGGATGGATGCTTATGCAGTGATAAAACCTGGCGTTGATGTTAAACATATGTAGATTTATAACTTGTTCAAATATATTTTTTCTATTGCTCTTTTCTAAGCAATTTCTTAGATATGGACTATTGTGTTTCATTTAAGAAATCCACTTGGATGGAGTTGTCTGGGATATTTTAGGTAGATATTGAGCAGGCATGCTACCCTGAAAGTAGTTTATTTATTTATTTATTGTGTGGGGTTGTAGGGAGGGTGTTTACTTTAGTATCCAATGAATTGGCTGAATATTTTTATCATGAACTAACTCTTTCAATGTGACAAACTCAGTTCCAATACATTCATATAGTTCCTTTTTATCATTCTGTCCCATCCAGGGGATCTTGATTTTGATACTTTGTAGGAAACTGTCTCCCAAATTGGCTATGTCAAACTACTATCACTCAGTTTCCTGCGTATTCTATGCTGTCATTTTGTATAAATTTTAGTGAATATTTAAACATTGTGTGGACAGTTTCCGGTAGGTAGGGTCCACCGTTTATTGAAATCAAGAACCACTGCACATGGGAGAGTGGGTGCAACAGCTGCTGTCTACACTGCAGCTATTTTGGAGTACTTAACTGCTGAAGTGTTGGAGCTGGCTGGCAATGCGAGCAAGGATCTGAAGGTGAACGTATCACACCTCGACACTTGCAGCTTGCAATTCGTGGAGATGAAGAACTTGACACCCTGATCAAAGGGACCATTGCTGGTGGCGGTGTCATTCCTCATATCCATAAGTCTCTCATCAACAAATCTTCCAAAGAGTAGATAACAAACAAGGTCTTGGTATCTTGCTTTGCTAATCGTTTTCTTTATTGACGAGTTCCGCAACCCTGATGAGCGGAAAGTGTGGATTGATGTCATTCTATGCAGATGTGCATCTATGTAACTAAACTATCTACTTTATTAGATCTAGGTTATATAGTGGTAGTAACCAAGGATGATATTACTTGACTTTTTCGCTAGGCTTTCCTTTAGAAATGTCTGTATGGATTAGTGTAAGTGATTGATTAGGGAAGATTTTAGACCAAATATGTAGACTCCTGATTTATCATTCTGATTGAGAAAATAGTTGGTAGTGTAGCTCATGAGGAACAACAGAAGCACTATGATGGATTCATGGAATCACTCCTGAACTATGGTGTTGAAGTGACTTGATTTCTTTGTGTCATTCCATAATGGATGCTGCTTATATATGTGTGATTTGAAATATAATTCTTTTACCACTGTGAATTTAGGTTGGGCGGAGCTGATGGTGGGATCAAGAGGGTCAGAGGCATTTGTAAACACTGCAATTGTTAGAATGGGAAATTCGATCAAATTTACTTCACTTTGTAATGAAGGGGGTGTTCCCTCGTATTCGCTAGCGTTGGCCCTCTTGGTCTTTTTCATTAAGTAATGAAGCAGAAACTCGTCTAGAAACAAATTAGTCATCACAGAAGAAAGTATGAATTCGCTTCTTCTTGTAGTGTGAACCCTGATCGTACCCACAGTCACGGCCATCAGCACGTATTCCTCTAAAAGAATCTCTCCCTCTGCCTTCTGTTCTAAGGCAGGAAGCCACACCATGTACGAATACCTCGTCAGATGAAAACAACCATTCCATATGATTGTAAGTTTGTAACTCTCATGTTCTCAGATGGGGAACTATTTACAAGAAAGGCATTTTCGTGCCCTGTTAACAAGACTTTGTCACTCGGTAGCGCTGCCTGGGAATAGAGAATATGGACACAAAATCATTATAAGAGTTTAGTTGGAATATAAGAAAAACGTAAGTTAGTAGTTTGCTGCATTTAAGGGTATTAATTGTTTTCAGTCAAACAAAGCTTTTTGTCGTTTAATTTGATTGGGTTTTATCATTAGTACCGTTTAGTTTGAAATTTTCAAAAGTGTGATTCATAGTTTCAGTGCGATTTGTGATTTTTCAAACTTAAGTATAATGTATGTAATTTTTTTGTTTTATGTTTTATCTTTTTTTTTTTGTGATTTTATTCAAGAATAATTCTCATTTTGGTGGCAAGGCTTTTAATAGTTTCTGTGCGACTAAAGTCGGCAAACTGAATATTAGAACAACTTTTATGGGGCGATATCTTCTTTTTCTATTTATTTTTTTTTATTTGAAGGTTAGTCTTTTAATTATTCAAGAAACTTAGTTATGTGAAGTGATGTCTTTGAGGCTGGACTAGATTGGCTGGTTCAAACGATTCAACTATCATTGGGTCATGCATCCAGTTTGGTTAGTAGTTTAAATTGAAATGGTGGTCAAATAGGTGCAAACCAAAACAAATCGAAAATAGGTGCGGGTTTTTTTAAAAAAACTCAAATTAGATAGTAATTTTAAGTTTCTATTTTGTTATTGTATGAATTTGAACATGATTAATAACTTTAAAATTTGAAAATTATTTAAAAAATTAGTTGAAATTAATTTATGCACACAGATTATATATATATATATATATATATATTAAAATTATAGTAATTCGGTTTGGTCATAAGTTGAACTAGTTAGTTAAACAGCAAATGGTAGTCACACTGGTTCAATCATTTAGAGGCTGTTCTTTTTTAACTTTAAAAACACATGTTTTTAAAATTGAGACATGATTTTGAGGTATAATGTTTTAGAAGTAATGAGATACTTTTTTTTTATCATGTATTTTTTATATATGTTTTTGAAATTGTGTTCTTTATATATTATTTTTGAGACAAATGTTTATGTAAAAAAATAGAACGTTAGAGGTTTAAATAAAAGAAACAAAAAATTTAAAAATTATATAAGATTGAATTGACGATATTTAAATGTAAAAAATTAAAATGAAAAATAACTAAAATATTAGGAATGATATATATATATATATAATATACACACATTATATGTGTATGTATATGTGTATATAACATATAAAATAGTACTTTAAATAAAATTATATATTATATGCATAAATATATAATATATATTATAAGTACACGTACATATATATATATGTTATATGTGTTAATATAATATGATATAATATATGTAATGTATTATATTTTATATTTTAATATCCAATAAAATGTATATTATTATATGATATTATATGTAATAAAATTTTTTATTTTAAATATAAGTAGAGTAATTTATTTCAAAAACTGAGCATAACTTAAAAGTTGTGCTCAGTTTCAGAAGCAAAATATTTCAATTTTTGAAATTTGTATTTTTGAGATATTATTTTAAAAAATGATATTTCTAAGATTTTGACATAAAAAACAGAGGCACGTGCTTTTGAGATTGCAAAAGAAGAGCCCCTTAGTTTATAAAACATTGATGTTAGTATTTGCTATACATAAACAATATGGTTTATGCTACGTTAAATTGCCGCATGGTTAGGAAAGAAGCCACATCAATGCAAAATATAGCCACAAATTAAAAGATGAAATAGATCTCCAAGTGAAACATTAGTTACAGCCCTAAACTAAAATTCTAGAATCTTTAATGTTGTATATGCCTAAAATATCAAATTTCAAAAGTAAAAGTCCTCCAGTGACATATTACCAAAAACTCTACCAAGCAACCCACCTCACCTAAGACATTCCCTACACTGAGGGGAGCAAAATAAATAACTTATAAAACTCAACGAGGCAAGATACCGAAAGAAAGAAAGAATAATCAAATGAATGATATAATGATGTGTCCAACGGGGAAAAAAAATGAATAAGGTTATAAGTAATATATAAGCATATTCCGCAACATATGGTCAAGTAAGCTAGTAGATAAAATATATTATATACGATTACTCTTTTACGTGAACGCTCCCCACTCAAGACATCAGGTACATTCAACAAGGTCATGAAAGATTCATAACCGACCACAAGAATCGGCCTCAATTGAGACCTCAAAGTTTACTCGAGGTCACATCAGATGCATAACCCAGCCTATGATGCTTGATGTCATCTTGGCATGCGGAAGCCCTTTTTTTGTTTTTTTGTTTTTTTTTAACAACCCCTAGAGACTGGCTTACTTCTCAACAAAAATAGTAAGCCTTTGAATGTAGTTTGATTCTTGTTAAAATGATGCATTTCATCCTTGTCAGGACCTGGCATGTATTCCCACAGCCTCGGGGTTTGGATCTCACACACCCCACGTATCCACGCATCCTTGCGTGCCCAGGAGGGCCTTCTATATGTCTGGCATGTGTTTGCCACATGCTTGGTTCTTGCTATCTAGCATGTGCTTGTTTGGATGTGGTTCACACACTAGCAAGCAGCCTTGCTCACGCGTCTTTGATCAGGGGCCGTCTCACGCGCCTTCAACTGATAAGCTTCTCTGAAAGCTCTCCAATGTTGGTCTGGATCTACAAGGAAAGGACATAAAGGATAATGGAAACAATACACACACAAAAAGCACGGGAAACCTCCCAACCTTGTTTCACTATAACTAGATTACACAAGGATCACCAAAGCTCACAGATTTCTTCTCTCTCATAATCTGTTTCATCTCTTGGATGGTTGAGGAATTACGAGCTTTCGCCTTTATTTACACACATATAAAGGCCTAGTAGATAACTTCAAATCTACCTAAGGAGATCCTCTTAATCTCCTTTTGATTTCAACTAATCATAACCAAACTTATCGAAGCCTTCAATCTACCCTTAAACTCTTTCAATTCTTTGATCTAGGGGTAAGGTTGAATCCTCGTAGATTCTTCCTCTTTTAGCTCTAATCTTTAGTAGATCGAGCCTTATCTCATTCTATTGGCCCTTGATTTGGTTTCTAGAAGGTGGATCTGCCTTTGATTTTCCTGACATAAGCTTTTCTTTCGTCTAGTCAGCCAAATCTGTGCAATTTTGTCTTGGTGGCTTTCAAGTTTAATTTGAGTCAACAATCCTCAATCAATCCTTCCTTGCTTTGATTCCCTTTCGATCTAGCTCCATTGGAGTCGTTCTTGTGCTTGCTGTCATCAGATGAGACAATTGAAGCTTCTGCCTTTCGTGATTGAAGCCACTAGAGAGTTTTGTGTAGATGACCGGTTCCCTTGACTTGAATCCATGATTTGATACGATTCGGTCGATTTCCTCTTTGGCTTTGGACCACCTAGGTCGGCCCAAGTTGGTGACCTAGTCTTGCTTGCCCTGGCCTAGCCCTTTCTATTTCGGGTTGGCCTATGGCCCTTCTGACCTACCGGGTCAGGTTAGGCTAACAATTCCCTCCTACTTGAAATATCCGGCACCCTTGTCAGATTAGGAGTGCAGTTTCTAGCCTCTCTGTATGCTTGTATCTAATCCTCAAATTATGACATTCCAAACTAAGTTTGGAATGCACAATCTTAACACTTAAACATGCATTACATATTTCATACAATTTCATGCATAACATGCATTACACTCATGATGTGCATATTTTGTGAAAATTAAAACTTAAGGAAATTAATTTATTTTTGCTTATCCACAATGTTAGAAAGGCTTAAAAGAACCTTAGAAAATATTAGAAGGTGAGATTGATAGGATAGTGAAAGAAAATTTGAGAGAAAATCAAAGTTGGAAGTAAAAACCCTAACTTACACCAGTTACCATAAAAATAAGAATTATAAAAACATAAATAAATAAAAATTATGAAAAATTATTCGTGACTTGACTTAATTAAAACCTAGAGTTTAGCCGATTAAAAAGAGCATTAGAATAGTTGCCTAGGGTTAGAAATCGAATTAGAATTCAAAAAGAAAACAAAAGGGGAATTTGAGACAAGGAGGGGCATTTTGGTCATTTCAATGGGGGCCTTATGCTGACTTAAGGGGGGGGGGTATAAAAGCCCTCCAAGATCTAGAGACCACCATTTTGGTCGTGCAAGCCATGGGAGAGGAGAAGGAGAGAAAGAAGGAAGGAAGAAGAAGAAGAAGAAGGAAGATAGGGAAAACAAAGGTAAGGAAAAATCTAGAAAAATCATTTTTGTGTAGATTTTCTTGTAAATTTTGATGTTACATCTATCTTCCTTCCATTTGCTTAAGAGAATTAGAATTTTTGAGTGGATTAAGTTGCTAAAACCAGGTTGGCTGAACACCCTAGAGAGAGAAGAAATCTTAGTAGTTGATTGTTTTGAATAAAACTTGTAACAATCTTGTGTTAGCTTGGAAAATTGTTGTTTCTATGAATTTATATGAGATTTCTATACTGGTTATGAGACTGGAATTAGGGTAAAAGAAGAGATGACTCATGTGGAAACCAAGAAATAGGAAGAACATAGAAGTAAACTCAAGACAACTAAGCTAGAAACTCAAGGAAACAAAGCTCTATGCTTGCTGAAATTTTTCTGCAGTTCCCCTAGGATGGCCGAACCACTTAGGGCAAGAAAGGGGCTTGATTTTAGTTCAAATTCCATACTAATGAGTGTATTAGGAGATAATTAAGCCAAATGAGAAAGACCGTG